TTTCTCTCCTATCTCCCAGCTTTTTGTTTTCCTTGATTCCTCTGACATTTTTTCATCATAGATAAGGACAATGAAGTTGATGTTATTGTTTGAAAATTATTGCCAAGTCTTTACATTGAGTGAATATGATCTGGGTGAGATAATCTTCTTCAGGACCTTCTCAGAGCAGATGCTGATAAAAAGAAGTCAGGAGACGAAGGAAAATAATGAACTTGCAGGAATACAGATTTTTTCTTTTCTTTTCTTTTCCTTTTTTTTTTTTTGACAGGGTCTTATTCTGTCACCCAGGATGGAGTGCAGTGGTGCAATCTCAGCTTACTGCAACCTCTGCCTCCCAGGTTCGAGTAATTCTCCTGCCTCAGCCTCCCGAGCAGCTTGGACTACAGGCATGCACCCATGCTCGCTAATTTTTGCAGAGACAGGGTTTCATCATGTTGCCCAGGCTGGTCTCAAACTCCTGGGCTCAAGCAATCCACCCGCCTCAGTGTCTCAAAGTGTTGGGATTATAGGCGTGAACCACCATTCCCGGCCGGAATACAGATTCTTTTTTATGGTGAGACAGAGATTTACTCTTGTTGCCCCAGGCCGGAGTGCAATGGTGCAATCTGGGCTCACGGCAACCTCCGCCTCCCACGTTCAAGCGATTCTCCTGCCTCAGCCTCCTCAGTAGCTGGGATTACAGGCATGTGCCACCACGCCCAGCTAATTTTGTATTTTTAGTAGAGACAGGGTTTCACCATGTTGGTCAGGCTGATCTCAAACTCCTGACCTCAGGTGATCCACCCGCCTCGGCCTCCCAAAGTGCTGGGATTACAGGCGTGAGCCACTGCGCCCGGCCGGAATACAGATTCTTACAGGCCCTTATCTACACTAAGAGCCTTGATTCTATGAGTGTAAATGCAGGGACTAGACTTGATGCTTCCACACAGCTCCCGGGGCAAATCCTCTTGATGCCAGAGAAGGGCTTCCAGGCCAGGCTGGAGACAACAGGTTCCTCTGCCTGCCATGGGACCAGCCTATCTGCTGTGTTCAGGTAGCTACCTGGGAACCAAGGACAGTGACATCCAAGCAGTACAAACCCAGGGCCTCCTCCCCGGGCTTCCTGCTCACAGCTGGTATCTGTGTTTCTCTTTGGGCTCCTAAGGTCACACTGGTTCCCAGACCCTTGGACCTGAACTGTGACGGAGGAGTGCCCTCTAGGTGCAACGGACAGAAACCGACATCTCCTGGCCTCTCCCTTCTTTTACCCACTAGAGCTTCAGAGGAGACCACGCACTGGGCTCAAGGACAGGATACTTGTCAGCACAGGGTACTGATTTAGCATTCAGTACTAAATTCCCTAGAAAGGCTCATTGACATCTTGACCTGCAGTTAGGCTGGACATCCTAGAAGGGAATGGGAAGTTGAGCCAGCCCCTGAAGAGGGCCTTGGTCTCTGTGTCCTGTTTCCAGTGCTTGATGTGTGGTTGGCGCTCAAAGCCTGTTTATTGGTAAGTACTTTAGTATCAGCCCCGTCTGGTGTGGAGAATAAGAATCTCCCAGGTGGCTTTGAATAAAGTACAGATAACTGGCTTTTGCTCCTGCAGATTCAGTAGGTCTAAGATCAGTCCTGGGGCAATTATGGCTTTAAAGCTCCACAGGTAATTTCAGTGAGCAACCAGATTTGGAAGCCACTGGTAGGGAGTTCAGCTAGGAGCTGGACGTTCTGCCGTCTCCGTGTTCCAATGAGCAAATCCTCAATTCCACTCTCAATGTTTCCCCATCTCAAATGGGCAGAGTTAGTCTGAGATTCTTGTGCCTTCCTTTACTCTCTCCAAGTGGGAAATGCTGCGTCTCCTCCCATCCTCCTTAAAAATAAATCTACTCCTCTGGACTGGACTCTGCCATTAGAGCCACGTGCTAAGCACACAGGGCCTCTTCTTGGAAGACAGCCTTTGGATGTGGGTAAGCGGGCACAGGTGGGTAAGTGGGCACAGGTGGGTAAGTGGGCACAGGTAAGCTGGCACAGGTGGGTAAGCTGGCACAGGGCTCTCTTTCCTCATAAGACAAGCCGAAGTGGCCACGGAGGAGCCCCTTCCTCAGTCCTTCCAGGAGCTAAGGGAATGAATGACCCAACGGCTGTGGACTTATCCCAAGACACCTGCGCTCCCTCTCCACCATGCTTGGCAGGTACTGGGGAAATCCTTTCCCTGCGTATCCTACAAAGCTCCCTCAGTTCTCTCATTCCCTCAAAGCCCTCCTTGACCAAGGCGTCCACCCACCATGACGTGTGTGTGTGTGTGTGTGTGTGTGTGTGTGTGTGTGAGAGAGACACAGCCTCGCCCTGTCATCCAGGCTGGAGTGCAGTGGTGCAATCTCTACTCACTGCAATCTTCACCTCCCAGTTCAAGTGATTCTCCTGCCTCAGCCTCCCAGGTAGCTGAGATTACAGGCGTGCACCAATACACCTAGCTAATTTTTTGTATTCTTAGTAGAGACAGGGTTTCTACTAAACGGGTTTTAGACAGGGCTTCACCACGTTGGCCAGGCTGGTCTTGAACTCCTGACCTCAAGTGATCTGCCCACCTCGGCCTCCCAAAGTGCTGGGATTACAGGCGTGAGCCACCACGCCTGGTCAACCTTTCTTTCTTTGTGAAGGAGCTTGGTAAGAAAGTGCAGGCAGCAAAGCACTCCTCTGTTACTCTCTCGTAAACCCAGGCCTTTACCCGGGGTGAATCTCTAGGGTACATAGTGCTTGTCTCCCCAGGGTTGTTTAGAAGATGAATGACATTAAATGTGTACGTATAAAGTAGGCTTCTTTAGTAATGGCCACAGAATGGTTTATAAATATAGTACCACATCTTCACTAATTTGGTCCTAGTAATGAAGCTCCTCCCACACCATGCCTTGTATTGAACAAAGATGTTCCCCGCTCAGTTACACTGCAAGCCCCTGGAGAAGTTAGTCCTGTTTTGTAGACCTTCGCCCTCCCTTCCATCTCGTACACGGAGAAGGTTCTCAATTGCTGCTGATTGCTTTAGAGTTACTTCCTATCGCTTTACCTTTCACAGCCAGAAGAAGAAATGCAGGGCAAATGTTCCTAAGCGATTTGCATCTCAATTCTCAAAGAAAGCTAGCTCTTTTTTCAATTAGCTAAGATGTGGCAGGATATTTATAATCCATTCTGTGGCCATTAGCAAAGAAGACTGTTTTACATATAAACATGTCATGTCATACTTCCTCCATTCAACCCTGGGGAGACAAGTACCATGTGACCTAGAGATTCATCCTGGGTAAAAGCCTGGGTTTCTAGAGAATGATAGAGGACTGCTTTGCCACCTGCACTTTCTTACCAAGCTCCTGGCTCTCATGGCTTTAGCTCTAGCATGTTGTGTGGGTTTGGACATCTTGAAAAGTGCTTAGGAGGTCTTGGGTCCAGACCTGGATTCAAATCCAACCTCTTCCATATGTTACCTTTCTATCTCTAGGCAAGTTACTTAAACCGTGTGCATCGGTTTCCTGATCTATATAAAGAAAATAACAGCATCTCCTCAAAGAGTTATTCTGAGGATGAAATGGGTGACCACAAGTAAAGCGCTTAGAGCAGTAAGTGGAACAGTAAGCTCTCCATGACTGTTAGTTGTTGCTGTGATTCGTTGGAGTAGCAGCCTGGGGAAGGAGAAAATCCTGTCCTGGCTCTACCATTTATTTGCTTTGTGCCTTTGGACATGGAAAAACTGAGATCTCCATTTCTTCATGTAAAGTATTAAAATCTTGATAATGCATGGTGTGCCCCTCTCACAGAGTGGCAGTGAGGTTCAAATGAGCTAATAGATGTGAAAATGCTTTGTAAACTATAAAAAAAAAAACTGCACAAATGTAGGGTAACAGATGCCATTTCTTTCTGTCTATACCTGTATGCTTGCACTCATTTTGTATTACGGTTACTTATTTTTATCTGCCTCCTGCATTAGATTTGAGCTCCTCGAGATAGGAATCACATCTTGCTGTCTCCTATATCAACTTGTACGTGATGTCTAGCTTGATGCCTGTACATGGCATGTACTCAGTACATGGCAAATTGGAAGAGGAGCAGTCTCCTTGGGTATTTTTTCGGGTGTATGTTGCAGTAGCTTGCTCCCCTTTAGACTGTGCGTGCCAGGACTATTCCCCCCAACATGAGGTGTAGCTTTCCAGAGGGCACACTGTGAACAGCATCTGCAGGCAGGCATCCAGCACCAAGCTGAGCACTCATGTACAGACACTAAATGTGGGGACACCCTGTCCTGAGGCTCGGATTCCCGGTGCTCAGCCAGCAGCCTTTCCAATCCCCATGAGGTCTCTGAACGGGTCTCCTTACTCCTGGAGAGACTATTCATTTAGTTGTCCTCGATAGTCCAAACTAGGGAAATTGAGAAATCGAACCTTGGCATGTTCAGTGACCTCAAGACCTTGCTTCTTTTTCTTCCATTTCAAAATCTTCCCAAAATGGCAACTTTGGTTTTTGTGCCCCTGCTCCCAGCTCCCATCTTTCACGAACTGGGGGTTCTCAGAGGATGCCATCTGCCTGACGGTGTCTTGTATCTCTATATCCTACAAGCTAGCCACCGAATCCTGCTCATAGATTAAGCACTGGATACATACTTGCTGATTGGAATTTAAAGAAAACCAAAATAAGTAAACTCGACGGGAGATTAATTGCCTAGGAGTCGGTTGACTGCTTGACTGAAGCTGGATTTTTTTTGGGAACCGCTGGCTGCCTTCGCATTTCCTGATGGACGTGGGACAGGTCAACAGACAGCCCAGAGCGGCAGATAACTTTTGCCCACGCGTCATTCATTTTTTTGGAGCGTTGGCTTGAAATTGAGGGGGGTGTGTGTGTCTGGAACCGACGTGCCTTCCGTGCGCCTCCGGGGTCTCTGCACTCTCTTTCAATGGGCTGATTACAACACAGAGGATGTGGACAGTGGAGTTTTTCCTGTTTGATGTCACACTGCTACCCTTTAAAAGTCTGATGGCAAAAAGGAGGGAATTCAGTCTAGGATCCTCACACCAACTACTTGCAAGGGAGAAGGAAAAGGCCAGTGAGGCCTGGGCCAGGAGAGTCCCGACAGGAGTGTCAGGTTTCAATCTCAGCACCAGCCACTCAGAGCAGGGCGTGATGTTGGGGGCCCGCCTCAGGCTCTGGGTCTGTGCCTTGTGCAGCGTCTGCAGCATGAGCGTCATCAGAGCCTATCCCAATGCCTCCCCATTGCTCGGCTCCAGCTGGGGTGGCCTGATCCACCTGTACACAGCCACAGCCAGGAACAGCTACCACCTGCAGATCCACAAGAATGGCCACGTGGATGGCGCACCCCATCAGACCATCTACAGTGAGTAGGACTTCAGGCTGGGAAGAAGGGGTGCGCCCCTGTTGTCCATCTACAGGGGGCTTGGGGAGGTTGGGGACTAGACTGGAGGGCTAATCCAACCCTCCAAGCTTTCTGCCCAGGAACCACTTATTGTCTGTGTGTGTGTGTGTGTGTGTGTGTGTGTATTTAAATCTTAGGGGAAGATTCTGTCACTCTCCTAATTAGTATTTGCTGGTTTTTCTAACATGCATACTTTTTGTTTAAACTAAAACCCTTCCCACAGTAGGAGCCATATTCCCTTTGCCCCATCAAAAGATTCAGAAAATGTACTGAAAGAAAAACAAGGAGTCTAAAAGAAAAAGAAGCCAGGCAGATCAACAGACACTAAGGTTCAGCTTCTGGACTTCAGGCTGGGTTAACTAGGCAGGTTGGAAAGAAGATTCCCGGGTCATACCCAGATTGTAATAGATAAATCTGGGGGCTCTTTCCAATTCTGGCCTTATACAAATTCTTGGAAAAATGTATTAAACACAGACTGTCCAGGAACGTTGTCTTGGTGAGAATGGCCAAGTATACAACCCATCCACCCATTCATTTGTCCACGCATCCATCCATCCAACCTTTAAACTTTAACAGGTTTAAAGGCTGTTTCAGATACTCAGGTACCCCGGTACCCAGTACGCATTGGTGATTCTTCTCCGTGGAACTGAGAGGTGTCCAGTCAGTAGCAAGTCAAGCTAGTTAGAAACTCATTGGCAACGTGAGACAACTGGAATGTTTTTAAAGATCAGATTTGTGGAGAATTGGATCACAATCCACAATAATCAATCCATTAGCAATGATTCAAATGAGAACCACTTTGTGCGCACCTATATAAGGGGTAATGTGGTGGGAGCAGGGATATTGAAAAAGACTGGATCTTCTATTTTAAGAAAATATGTGAAAATACCTCTAAGGATACACAAAAATGCAAACTGATCCAATATAGCTCAAATTAAGGGAAAGAAAAATTAGTTAGACAATCTCTAACTAAAGAAAACATAGGAATTATGATTTGCCTTTTATTGTTGTAATAAGTTAATTATTTTTGCTGTGACCTTGCTGTGTGTGAGGCATTTATTCTTCTAGGAACCAAAGGTCCTTAAACCTGGTTGCAAGATATATAACATGCAAAATTAAGTTGCAAGATATATGAATGCGGAATTGAGAGTTTAAACCTCCTCAAGTGCTAGATGCATATTGATAGGAGATAAAAGGAGAGAGAAAAGTTCTCTCCAAATACCAAACAGGTTCCAGAACTCTAGAGGATATAGTAAGACTCAGGAGTCAACATCTTGGAAACCAAGTTTGAGTCTCGTGGCAAAAATTTCAATTAAATCTGGATATACTTGATGAACCCAAAGTGTTGTTCATTTTATTCAATGGATATTTAACAGGATCTACAATGTGCCTGGCATTCTATCAAGCTCTGTGACTGAAAAGTAAGACACAACCCCTCAAGGACCTTGTGGTCTGTCATCCTGCCTTGTCAGTCAGCTCACTACCAGACTTTTAGGAAACGCGACTTTGCGCCTCTCATGGAGTGGCCACTCTAATTCAAGACTCTATGTGATTTAAAATGCAGAATAGTAGATGATGGTAAATTATTTTGATTCTCTTAGATGGAAAGGGCGGCATCCAACTAGAGAGTGTTTACACAACTTGTCTCGAATCCTGGAATCCCATTGCTGAAAAGAACTCCTTAAAGACATTTCCTCCTGAACAAGAATTAGGGTAGAACAGAACAGGCTGGCTACGGTGGGGAGTGAGTGTGAAGAGTTGACCTCCTGGGCTGGCAGTCTGAACTGTAGACCTTTTCCTTGAAAACCCACCTCGTATCAGGCCCCAAGGGATCTGATAAAAGGATTGAGAGGCAGCAAAACAAATGGAACTGACTTCAGATCTTTAAAAACAGAAATACGGTTTTGTTTTCTTAGACACAGGCACTAGCTAAACGTTGCATCTTTAAAGAGTTAAACGCGAATACAGGGAGGGGAACTTAGGGTCAGGGGAGTGGGAGAGAGATCTGCTTTTCCTAGTCTATGTAGATAACTTTTTGTACTGTTCAATCAGTTGTCACTTGTATTATGGGGGGAAAAACGTGCAGGAAAAAAATTACACAATACAATTAAAAGTTACCCAAAAGAGGCCAGGTGTGGTGTGGCTCATGCATATAATCCCAGCACCTCGGGAGGCCACGGCAGGAGAATCACTTGAAGTCAGGGGTTAAAGACCAGCCTGGCCAACATGGGGAAACCCTGTCTCTACTAAAAATACAAAAATTAGCTGGGCGTGGTGGTGCGTGCCTGTAATCCCAGCTACTTGGGAGGCTGAGGCAGGAGAATTGCTTGAACCCAGGAGGCGGAGGTTGCAGTGAGCTGAGATCACACCACTGTGCTCTAGCCTGGGCGACAGAGCGAGACTCCGTCTCAAAAAAAAAAAAAAAAAAAAAGTTACGTAAAAAGAAAGAGGAAAGATTAATGCACGTAGATAAGAATCACAACTAATTAAATGTCTGGTGAAGGATTGTAATGACCTCATCAGTGACTGTTAAGCAATGTTTTTACACTGACGGAAACCTAAAATGTGAGGGGTATTTTTTCCACTCCTAATTATCCATTTCTAGTGAATTCTGGTTCCTCTTATTATTTTGCTGTAAGAAATTCTTAAGAGTTGAGTGCACGACCCATCTTTGGGTCATTGGACTTGACAAAATGAAATTATCTCCTGCCTACCAGATTCTTCAAGCTCCCTTGGGACTCACAAGCGCTGCTGCCAGGTACCCCTCTGATGTCCCTATCACCTGTTTCATGAACAAGGCCATCCTCTGACTCCCCTTTATCCTCATTATATGGAACCAGCAAGACAGAGATGTTTATTGCCCCTGGTAATATCACGTCCTAGATCCTGACATTTTCACTTCCTCCATCTTCCCCACAGGAACTTTCTTTACTTGAAGCTGAGTTCCCGTTGGGCTCCTTACGCCTTCTTCATACATTTTTATTTTGAGGTGCTCAAAGCACTTCACTGCTATCATCTTATTTATCACTTACTGGCCACAAGAGTAGAACGGAGTAGATAATTTCCTACTTGTATAAGCAGAGGTTGAGGCAAAGCGGTCATAGTGAAACTTACTAGCATTTAGGAAGTACTTTCTAAAAGATAAAAACATTATCTCATTATGTCTTCAAGAGGACCAAATGAGGTAAGTAAATGTTTCTGCCATCCTCATTTTATATGTGAAAAAACGAGAGTTAAAGAACTTAAATCACTGGCTGAAGGTCAGACAGGGAGTAAAAGACCTAGAGGACATCTTGACCCCAAATCCCACGCTCTTCCAAGGTCACACGCATGCAGACAGCTCCGTCATTGAAGGCAAAGTCCATTCAGCCTGCTCAGCTCCAACAGGCGGGGCGGGGGGCTCCGGCAGTCAGTGGTTTGTGCCTTCCTTCTGCAAAATTCTCCCGTGAATCTGTGCAGACTGCGGAAAGATGCCTTTCGAAAGCGCAAAGGAAAGAAACCGTGACTCTCACGTTTTCTACACTTTCACATTGACTCACACTGTTTGACGGAAGAGTCTGTGTCCCTCTGTACCAGCTGTTCACAGTTCCTCAGCCACTGCCAGAGGTTTTCTAGGGGGACTGGCTCTGGAGACCGGGACCACATGAGCCATACGCACTGCCCACACTGACCCCAAGCATCAGGCCAGCACGCCTGTCAAGGCCTGGGCCCGGCATAAACAGCAGGTCAGAAGACGCCACGTGATGTCCTCTGTTCGTGCGACACTTTCGAGTCACTTTTACCACCATTATCCCATTTGATCATCACCCTATGAAGTAGGCAGGACAGCTATTGTTCTATTTCACAGCTGAGGAAACTGAGGCTAGAGCAGTAAGTTGCCCAAGGCTGCAAGGTCAGCAAGTGGCACAGTTGGGACCAAAATCCAAGTTCCCCAGTTCTTGGCACCTGGCTCAGTGCCTCTTCCCTGAGCCCTCAGCGGTGCCGTGACTCCTTGTCCTCACTGCCTGCAGCATGTATTTTAGCATTTGATGTTGTCTTCTCAGACTCTTCGTGATTTCTGCTGGAGGCTTGCTACCGCATAGTAGGAAGATGTCTCTGACCTGAGTTTCAATCCTGCCTTAGTTTCCTTATCACTTAATTAGGATATTGCTGCTGCTACTACTACTACTACGGCTACTAATAATAATTAGTACTAACAATGTAACATTTGTTTTGAGAATTTAAAATATGTAAAGTGCTTAGAGTGCAACCACTCAAAGACCATTACTAAATGTAATTTTTTCCCAATTAGACTGAAAAGTCTCCAGAACAAAAATCATTTCTTTCACGTTCCTTATGTTTCTCCAAAGGTTTACCACAAAACTAGCCATACATTTGAGACACATAGGCAGACACCACTGTGGAGGAATTTAAGCATCCTTTGTGCCTGTCATACCCCAGTCCACCTTCTGGAAGCTTCCCTCAAGTTTCTCCTCAGCCAAACTTTCAAACAAATTAACTTCTCTCTTTGGCCCTCTTCCTTTCTCACCTTTCTGGGGCTTGTCTCCACTCTCATTCCCTCTGTTCCATGTCATTCCAATTTCAGCCCCTATCATGATTTCTGCTGAGCTAGTATCGAATTATTGCTGCTTATTTTCCTCAAAGGTCCTTGTATTGAGCCTGCGTGGGATGGCAGAGGAGCTTTGGGCTTTCAATAACCCCTAGGAGGCTCCATCACTTGCTAGGCACAGACATTGGGCATTCACAACCTCTCCAAGCTACAGTTGCAGAAGAGGAATTTGAATCCCTGCATGGGAGTCTAGCTGCCTCCCTGGGGGCTGTGAGGTCAGATGAGATGCAGCTGGAAATTTCTGTGATAGGCAACCGGAAGTGGCCCCAAAGACCTAAAGTAATGATTTTTAACAGAAGATGTCAGGTAATTAAACAACATTTGGGGGAGAAGTCTTGCTGAATTACCACTCATGTTACACTAGTATATGGTCTAATTGTGCCTTTGCCACAAAACAGAAAGCACACTTAAAGCCGTTATCAATTACTTAAGAGGTAGGTCATGTGAATGGCTTTCAGACTCTTGTCGGAGACTAGCTCTTGAGAGGGGACACTGAAAGTCTATGAGGGACTGTACCTGGAGGGGTCACCACCAAGTGAGAAAATGACAACCAACCCAAGAAAAGCCCAAGAAGAAAATTCCATCCATCACTGGTATTGATTCAACATAAACAGTTATACCCTCTGCTCCTAAGTAGCTCACTCTAAGGAAGGCGCTAGATAGGTAAACTCAGTTAAAGCAAGGTAAATGGAATACATGCTGTAATAGAGGCGAAGGCATTGTCCTGAGGAGCTGAGAAGAAAGAACAACTGATTTTGAATGGAAAGATGAGGAAAGGCTTCATAGAGATGGTGACGCCTGAGCCTGGTCTTGAAGAATGAGTGACTTCAATAAGTAGAGAAGGAAGAGGGAGATCAACTCTAACACCGTTCTGTACACATACTGGGTGTTGACTGATTAGTATTAGACGATTACACAGACATCCAGGTGGAGAATCAGACTCTGTGGACAAGCTGGATCCTTGAAAGACATCTCAGCATAGATTTAAAAATCACAAAATAGAAGGCATGGAAGAATGTAACTATCACCACAAACATTCAAAGGCATTAGTAAGGCAAAAGGGAAAATAGGTAGAGAGAGAGAAACATGTGTTCAGCACAGGTAGAAGAATGCCAGGAGCTCAGAGTGCCCCATACAGGCAGCAAGATGAAGCAGGAGGTGAATGACTGTATACGTGCTGGGGGCAAGAGAGAATGTCAGAAGCAATGCTGAATATGTAGAAATGAGGCTGAATTTAGGGGTGTGGAAGTCATCATCACCCTTAAAAGTCAATCCAGGGAGGTTTCATGAAGGTGGGTTTTCAGGAGGTGCTTGAAGGTGGGAACTGGATGCTCAATGAGTCTCCCCTGCCTGGTTTTCTCCATAGGTGCCCTGATGATCAGATCAGAGGATGCTGGCTTTGTGGTGATTATAGGTGTGATGAGCAGAAGATACCTCTGCATGGATTTCAGAGGCAACATTTTTGGATCAGTGAGTTTCTTTTTTGTGTTGGTCACCATATGCAAACAATTAACCTAATTTCTTTGACAGGACATAGACTTTCTAGCTTAACAATTCCATATGCAGTGTACCCTGGTGACCTGTTTCCACTGATGCTTCATGCGGTCCAGGTATTGAATGCTCAGGTTTAATAGCTGGGGTTTGAACTTAGGCACTCTGGCTCCAGATCCCAGGCTCTCAGCCCCTAGTCTGCACTGCCCACTGGAACCCATTTTTGGATCTAGCACAGGCCCTGGTATGTAGTCGCAGGTCCTCGAGTCATGTCAATTCACGTTGTAAAGTGCATTAGAAAAGGGTGAAAAGCCATTGGTGTCTTCTTGGTTCTGGGACTAGCTGTGACTTTAGGTAAATCTCCTCACTTCTCCAAACTTCAGCATTTTCACTTGGAAAAAGTGAAGTGGAATAGACCACGTGACCTGTGAATCTCCCTCCAGTTAAAGATTTTTAATTAATAACCCCTGCCCCAATTATGATCGCTATTCGTTCGGATTGGTAAGCAAAGGATTTCCCAAACTAAAGGCTGTTGGCCTCTCTTCGAGGATTTTGAGATAGTCAAATAGTAGGACTGCTTATCTCAGGATTCTCTTACCACCCCTCTTGCCCACGAGAAACTCCACAAGAACAGAGACTTTCTGTTTTGCTTTCTGCTGCATCCCAGCCCCTACAATAGTGTCTGGCTAGAGTAGGGAAAAAAAAAAAATCAGTTGAACAACTGTTGAAATATAGGTAACTAACTAAACATCTCTTGAACCCATCTAGGCACGTAGACAGTCCTGGTCTGTAAACTGCTTACTTTGTGGAGTTTGAGGATTAAAAGAAATAACATGCAGGCCGAGCGCGGTGGCTCAAGCCTGTAATCCCAGCACTTTGGGAGGCCGAGGCGGGCGGATCACGAGGTCAGGAGATCGAGACCATCCTGGCTAACACGGTGAAACCCCGTCTCTACTAAAAATACAAAAAAAAAAAAAAAAACTAGCCGGGCGAGGTGACGGGCGCCTGTGGTCCCAGCTACTCGGGAAGCTGAGGCAGGAGAATGGCGTGAACCCGGGAGGCGGAGCTTGCAGTGAGCTGAGATCCGGCCACTGCACTCCAGCCTGGGCCACACAGCGAGACTCTGTCTCAAAAAAAAAAAAAAAAAAAAAGAAATAACATGCGAAGGCCTCTGTGGAGCACTCAGTAAAACCCAGTACTAGTGGTAGAGGATTCAAACCCAGCTCATCTGTCAGCAAAGTTCATGTCTCCAGTCCCCTCAGTGCCCTCATTCATGTTTGACCCTACAAACTCCATCCACTCTCCTTTCTCCAGCAAGGAGACAAACCCAAGCCAATTTTCAGCCAGCAGAGACTTGGAATAGGTAGAGGGCGGGAAGGAGGAGGTGGTGCCTACCCCAGGAAAACCACAGGCCAGGCCAGCCCGGGCCTCCAGGCAGTAAGCGCAGGCCCCAGTAGTCTAGTCTCTGAAAGGGGGAACTATAGTCAGGGCTTGAGCATTAATCAGAACCACTTGACCCCAGCAGGGAACAAAGGGGTGAAGGCTCAACACCCTCAGCCCTTCAGGGCTTCAGGCCGGCTGGCACAAGCGTGTGGCCCCAGGAGGAGTGGGGGGTGGGTGGGCCCCCACGGGCCAGCCTTCACGTGGCTCGCTCTTGCCCTTCCAGCACTATTTCAACCCGGAGAACTGCAGGTTCCGACACTGGACGCTGGAGAACGGCTACGACGTCTACCACTCTCCTCAGCATCACTTTCTGGTCAGTCTGGGCCGGGCGAAGAGGGCCTTCCTGCCAGGCATGAACCCACCCCCCTACTCCCAGTTCCTGTCCCGGAGGAACGAGATCCCCCTCATCCACTTCAACACCCCCAGACCACGGCGGCACACCCGGAGCGCCGAGGACGACTCGGAGCGGGACCCCCTGAACGTGCTGAAGCCCCGGGCCCGGATGACCCCGGCCCCGGCCTCCTGCTCACAGGAGCTCCCGAGCGCCGAGGACAACAGCCCGGTGGCCAGCGACCCGTTAGGGGTGGTCAGGGGCGGTCGGGTGAACACGCACGCTGGGGGAACGGGCCCGGAAGGCTGCCGCCCCTTCCCCAAGTTCATCTAGGGTCGCTGGAAGGGCACCCTCTGTAACCCATCCCTCAGCATAGCAGCTCTTCCCAAGGACCAGCTCCCTTGACGTTCGGAGGATGGGAAAGGTGACAGGGGCAATGGATGGAATTTGCTGCTTCTCTGGGGTCCCTGCCACAGGAGGTCCTGTGAGAATCAACCTTTGAGGCCCAAGTCATGGGGTTGCACCACCTTCCTCACTCCACATAGAAGACCTTTCCGAATAGGAAACCCCAACAGGTAAACTAGAAATTTCCCCTTCATGAAGGTAGAGAGAAGGGGTCTCTCCCAACATATTTCTCTTCCCTGTGCCTCTCTTCTTTATCACCTTTAAGCAAACAAACAAACAAACAAAAAAAGCAGTGGGTTCCTGAGCTCAGGACTTTGAAGGTGTGGGGGAAGAGGCGATCCAGAGATCCCAGAAGCTTCCCCACTGCCCTGTGCATTTATGTGACATGCCCCGATCCCACTGGCATTTGAGTGTGCAAACCTTAACAACTGAACGGGGCAAGTTGATGAAAACACTACTTTCAAGCCTTCGTTCTTCCTTGAGCATCTCTGGGGAAGAGCTGTCAAAAGACCGGTGGTAGGCTGGTGAAAACTTGACAAGTAAACTTGATGCTTGCTGGACTGAGGCAGGAATCATAATAGAAAACTCAGCCTCCCTACAGGGTGAGCACCCTGTGTCTCGCTGTCTCGCTCTCTGCAGCCACAGCCAGAGGGCCCAGAACGGCCCCACTCTGTTCCCAAGTGGCTCATGATACAGCCTCACCTTTTGGCCCCATCTCTGGTTTTTGAAAATGTGGTCTAAGGAATAGCTTTTATATTGGTTCATGAAAATCTACCCTGCTAGGATTTGCTTTTCAAAGTGGAAATAAATTCCAACTCTCCTAAGAGGCATTGAATTAAGGCTGTACTTCCAGGTTGAGTAGGAATCCATTCTGAACAAACTACAAAAACGTGACTGAGAAGGGGGCCTTGAGAGACTGGGGCCGCTCTGGGTTAGGTTTTCTGTGGACTGAAAAACCGTGTGCTTTCCTCTAAATGAAGTGGCATCAAGGACTCAGGGGGAAAGAAATCCAATAATCAGGGGATATGTTACAGAAGTTATGAAAAAGCAACCACATGGTCAGGTTCTTGACTGTGGTCTCTAGGGCTCTGCAGCAGCAGTGGCTCTTGGATTCGTTAAAACACTCCTAGGCTGACACATCTGGGTCTCAATCCCCTTGGAAATTCTTGGTGCATTAGATGAAGTCGGCTTTCAGTCCCAGGAGCCCCAGTGCTATCTGGAGGAAACAAAGCTTCCCAGAGCAAGCAGGAGAGGCTCAGAGGAGCACCAGGCAGGTGGGCCTGACGGTCAGCTCTCATCCCAGCCTTACCCCCTTACTGCGGTTCTTCCCGTAAGGGGACTCCGTTTTCCTACCTCTCTTGAAATGACCACCTAAAGGACAGAATATTAACAAGCAAAGTCGATTCAACAACAGCTTCTTCCCAGTCACCTTTTTTTTTTCTCACTGCCATCACGTACTAACCTTATACTTTGATCTATTCTTTCTAGTTATCAGAGAAACATTGGGCAACTGTTTTGACCTGATGGTTTTAAGCTGAAGTTGAAGGATTGGTTCCTATTCCTATTCTGAAACAGTAAAACTATGTATAATAGTATATAGCCACGCATGGCAAATATTTTAATATTTCTGTTTTCATTTCCTGTTGGAAATATTATCCTGCATAATAGCTATTGGAGGCTCCCCAGTGAAAGATCCCAAAAGGATTTTGGTGGAAAACTGGCTGTAATCTCACAAACTCAACACTATCATCAGGGGTTTTCTTTATGGCAAAGCCATAATAGTTCCTACAATTTCTTATATCCCTCATCATGTGGCAATATTTATTTATTTATTTGGAAGTTTGCCTATCCTTCTATATTTATAGATATTTATGAAAATGTAACCCCTTTTTCCTTTCTTCTGTTTAAAATAAAAATAAAATTTATCTCAGCTTCTGTTAGCTTATTCTCTTTGTAGTATTACTTAAAAGCACATTGGAATATAAGAATAAAAAGGATTATGGGAGGGGAACATTAGGGAAATCCAGAGAAGGCAAAATTGAAAAAAATATGTTAGAATTTTAAATTTTTCAAAGATTTCTTCCATTCATAAGCAGACTCAACAATTTTAATTGATCTGGACAGAATTATTTAAGTTTTATCAATATTGGATTTCTGATGATTCTAACCCTAAAGTGTTTTCTTTTCTTTTTTTTTTTTTAAGACGGAGTCTTGCTCTGTCACCCAGGCTGGAGTGCAGTGGCACGATCTCGGCTCACTGCAACCTCCGGGTTCAAGCAATTCTCCTGCCTCAGCCTCCCAAGTAGCTGGGATTATAGGCGCCTGCCACCATGCCTGGCTAATTTTTGTAATTTTAGTAGAGACAGTGTTTCACCATCTTGGCCAGGGTGGTCTCGAACTCCTGACCTTGTGATATACCCGTCTCAGCCTCCCGAAATGCTAGGATTACAGGCGTGAGCCCCCGCGTCCAGCCGTGTTTTAAGAGGGAATTTTTATTTGAAAACTATACACCAACACAACCACATCAGCATTTCAGTAAACCAAATGCTATGCACTTAACACATACACAGTGTTACTGTCCTGTGAGATTTGATAGCAGGACACCAAGAGAATGAATCTACATTCTGAGATTGGTGTTCCCAGAGTTCCTTCTTTCAGGGGGAACTATGAAAAGGAGAGACTTTATATACGCGCATGAGCATTCACTACAGGTCCTTGGCCAAAGACTGGGGAGCACATGCACAGGGTAAGATAGAGTGAGTCCCACAAAGATTGCCTGCTACAGCAGTAGAAGATAGACAGCGAGCAATACCAGAGGCTATGCAACGTTGAAACGCATTAGAAATCCAACCAAACCTGGGTGAGGAGAACTTACTGAGTGCCTCAGAACTCAAAAGGCTGTTCTTATAAGACTAAGCCCCAGAGGCAAGGAGTCTATCCTAAAACTAAATTCAAAACTGAAATAGACTTGCTGTAAGAGAGAATTATACCAATCCTGGCAAAACTACAAGGATCTGCCAATAATTTCACTGACTGCCAGAATAGAACTTAACACCTTTTAAAGGAAGAGGACATGATTCAGACTTAATACATGGTATCCTATACAATCAGTAACAGTAAAATAAAACAACTGAACATGAGAATAGGAAAAAAACATGTGCACAGTCAAGAGAAAATGCTATCACTAGAAACTAGTAAGATGATCTAAAGATAAAGAAAGCTAATTTAAATTACCTTACCTAACAGAGAATAAGTTTTCTAAAAATGAGTAGAACCTCAATGATCTGTAAGACCTTATTAAGCTGTCCAACATATGAGTAAGTTGAGTCCCAGAAGAAAAGGAGCATAAAGAATTGGGGAGTAAAAAATATGTGAAGATATGGTGGCTGAAAATTTCCCAATTATTGGTTAAAAACAAGTGTACTAATACAAGAAGCTCAGAAAACTCCAAGCAAGACAAATGCAAAGATCACAATTACGTATACTGCAGTCAAACTGTTAAAAATCAAAAATAAACAGAAAATCTGAAAGCTACTGTAGACAAATGACACTTTATATATAGAGGAACAGCTATAATAGTGGTGGATGTCTCGTCGTAACAATGGAAACTAGAAAATAATGGAATGACGCATTGAAAAGGTTGAAAGAAAATAAAAAATCTACCTACCCAGAATTACACATACAGCAAAAATATCCTTCAAAATTAAGGTGGAATAAAAATGGAGAGAAATTATTGCCATGCTGAAAAGGAGTAACACCAGGTGGACATTTAGAATTACAGAAAGAAAACCATCATTAAATGTGTGAATACATTTAAACTATATATATTGTATACCTTCTTCCCCGATTTCACTAAGACACTGCTTAAGGCAAAAATTATAACACTGTATGCAGGTTTTGTAACACATATAGATGTAATATATAAGGCAAAACTCCCACACAGGATGGGAGGGATAAATGAAACAATATGGTTACAAGATTATAACACTGTATGTAAAAATCATACAATATTAACTCTAGACTGTGATAAATTAAGGATGCATATTGTAGTCCCTAAAGCAACCACTAAAATAATCACAATAATAAGAGTGGTGATATGCACCTGTAGTCCTGGCTTCTCAGGAGGCTGAGGCTGGAGAATCACTTGAGCCTGGGAAGCAGAGGTTGCAGTGAGCTATGATCATACCACTGCGCTTCAACTTGGTGACAGAATCAGACCCTGTCTCTAAAAACAAAAAATTTAAAAATAATAATAATTAAAAGAGGTGTAGGTAAAAAGTCAATAGAGATATTAAAATAGGATACTAAAGAAAATTCAATTATTCCAAAGAAGAGAAGAAAAGGAGGAGCAGTAGAATAAAAATCAAATGGGACAAACAGAAAAATGACAGACTAAACCAAATTATAGCAATAGTTACATTAAATGTAAATGGGCCAAACACTATAACTAAAGACAGGAATGGTCAAGTTGGATTAAAAAAAATACCCAACTATATGTTTTGTACAAAACACACACTTAACGAGTGGAAAGATACATAGTGAAGACATTCAATATAAAAATATGAACTTACTATATTAATATCATAGAGAATAGGCTTCAAGTGAAGGAATACTGCATAAATAGAGGAACAATTCATAATAATAAATGGGCTAATTCATCAGGAAGACACAAAACTCCTAACAACTCATGTCCCTAAAAACAAAGCAATAAAATACATGAAGAAAACTGACAAAACTGAAAAAATAGACAAGTCCAAATCTTAGAAATGTGAACACCCCTCTCTCAGTAATTGATTAAGCAAATACACAAAAAATTAGTGAGGATACAGATATCTGAACAACATTATTAACTAACTTCATTTAGTTGACATGTGTAGACCACGAAATCCAACAACTACAGAATACATTCTCTTTCTGAGTACAAATTAAACAGTCATCAAAATAGATTATATGCTTGGCTGAGAAGTCTCAATTCACTGAAAATTTCAAATTCTTACAGAATATTCTCTCCTGCCATTAAATTGGAAATGACCAAGCTATTTGAAAAAAAATCCCCAAATATTTTCAATCAAATAGTACATTTATAAATAATACATGAATCAAAGAGCAAATCAAAAATAAAATTAGAAAGTACATCTAACTAAACGACAATAAAAATATAACATACCAAACTTTATGATACACAGCTCAAGCAGTGCTTAGAAAAGCTCTATAATTTAAAAACTTATATATAAAAAGAGAGAAGGTTAAAATCAATCTAAGATTATACATTAAGACTCTAGGAGGATATAAAAAAACAAATTAGGTCCCAAATAAGTAGACAGAGGATATAAGAACAGAAATCAATGAATTAAAAAAGAGACAACAGAAAGGTTGGTTTCAAGAAAAAAATAATAGAACTGAAAAATTATTTGCCAAGAATATTAAGGAAAAGAGAAAATACAAAATGCCAGTATGAAAAATGACAGAGGGGGCGGGTGTGGTGGCTCACACCTGTATAACCCAGCACTTTGGGAGGCTGAGGTGGGTGGATCACTTGAGACCAAGAATTCGAGACCAGGCTGGTCAACATGGTGAAACCCTATCTCCACCAAAATTATAAAAATTAGCCGGGCATGGTGGC